CGCCGGCCCCCGCCGGCTCCTGCCCGCCATCCTGAGGCGATGGCGGGGCCGAGGCTGGTGGAGGCTGCATCCCGATTGCTGAGGGGATGCGTGAGGGGAGGGAGAGTGGGAGAAGCCCCGGGGAAGGGCTCTCCCTGCCGGCCTCGCTCCCACCCAGGGAAGGGGCCAAAGCCACTGGGGCCATGGCGTTCTCCGGTTGCTTCTGGGTCCCAGGAACAGCAGCCGCCTGCTGCCCCTGGCAACAGTTAAACCCGCTACACATAGAGCTTGGACCCATTGCTTAATGGCGAGGTCGGCGTGAACCACTTCTTCTGGCCCAGGGCTTGCGGAGGCAGCTGGTGAAAAGTGGAGGGGTTGGGGAAGTGCCGCAGGCTTCCTCATCCCTCACAGCCTTCGCCTGCAGCCCAGCCCCAAGCGTGAGGGCCGTACCTTGCCCCCTGCTAATTCGCAGGTACAGATCTAAAGGGATTTTTCCTCTCTGTCCCACCCGGTCGGGTAATCCTGTACTTGGAGAGAAATAGGAAGCAGGGCCCCTGCGTTTTCAACTCCACTGAGCTGAAAAAGGAAGCCAGTGATGTGGAAATTAGGTTAAACCGCCTAAGTAGGCAGCTTTCTGCACGTAACTAATCTGGCTGCTGCAGATAGCAGCGTCAAGTGAATTCCAGTCCGGTGGGTAACTGGGGGACAAACCCAGGGTCCTCTGCTTGGTTTCAGGCCAGGGCAGGAGAGACAGGATGGAAAGTGAGGAGGAAAATAGGACGCGGAGGAGGACGTGAAGCAGTTCTCCTCCACTGAAATGGAGGAGCAGGTCACCTGAGCCAAGGGCTGCACATTAGGTCCTGAAGGAATCAAGGGGAGCACCAGGTAAGAAGCTGGACTCATGTCAACTTTTAGACTTTGGCTGCAGCATCTAATTTGCAGTGTAGGTGTCACCATGCCCTTTGAGCAATCCAGTGCTGTTCTGTAGAGCTATCTACACACTTCCCTCTGTTTTCCTGTTGCACAGGGGTGCGTGGGCTTGATAGTACACCTGCAAGCTGCACCAAGAACAGACCACTGGCCTGGGAACTCACCTGTGCTGGGATATGAACACCAGCTGTGGGCATCGAGCTGTGCAGTACTGGGACAGGTGATGGCTTTCGAAAAAGGAGTAACTGATCTCTCAGGGCACATTAAATGGTCCAGGTGAGAACGAGATTCTGTGTATTGCAGGGCTGTGAGGGGCAGAGGCTGGAAGTCAGAGTGGTGGGCAGGGGGGTGACCAAGAAAATACCAGCTGCTGATCAGCACAGGTCGACTGGAAGACTGCGCTCGGTCTCACCTCACAATTACCTCCAGGCACTAATTAAGCCATGCTTCTTTAAACAGGCTATTATTAGAGAGGTGCTTGGAGGAGAGCCCCTGGGACATGTCCCACTTCAATTGACAGCAGCAGCCCCAAAGTCTTGCTTAGAGAGTATGAGGCTGCTTCTAAAGCCCTAGTGCTGGCATCTTCACTGCCTGTTGTCAGGAGCAAGAGTACATTGAGGAGACAAGTGTCCTGCCTTGCTTTATGCTCACATACACTGGAAAAAGTGGCACAGGAGCTAATGGTTCAAAGCCTTGGCTCACTAAACCTAATTAAGGGCTATGCAGGGGGGAATTTGGCAGTGGTATTTTGTGAAGAACTAGATACTGCTTCCCTGTCATGCGCGGTTACCCAGCAGGTTTGCGGAAGATAGTTTATTGTTTACCTACTGGGGACACAAAGAATGAGAGTTAACTCTCTAGACTGATGCAATTAAGACCTAACACATAAACAGAGAAAAACAGTGGATGAAGAGCAGCTAGACAGGAACTACAGGAAAGAAAACAAATGGGGGAAGAAACAGCCTACCTGTAACCCAAAACACAACTAAGGTGATGATAAGTGCAGCAACGATGGACTGTAAGAAGGATTGGACTCCAGGTACCGCAGATGAGAGGAGGAGGTCATAGCATGCTTTAATGTACATTTTACTTTTATCTTTTGAATCTGACAGCCTTGTACCTTTATTTCAGCTTTAATAAAGTGGAGCTTACACAGTTCTCACAGAGCTACCCTTCCTCAAAAAGGGGAGGTGATGGAGGGGAATTATTTCAGATTTGCTGCAAGGGAGGAGGCAGACAATTATTTTAGATTTGCTGCAAGAGCCATGGCAGGAAACAAAGACAGAGATAGCCTGGTATGATAGGGCGGTAAGGCTTGTCCTGATAACTAGAGGACTTGAGTAAGCACTGAGAGATGTCCTCCCACAAGGACTTTACTAAGGCTGCGTGCTCAGCATATTCCCTGGAACTGCAGCACGCGTGCATTTCCCTGCAAAAGTGTGTCCCTTTCTGTCAGCAAAAGGAGATGCTGAAGCTCTCAGCCGGGCACTGAATTTCTGGCAGTATTGAATAATTCAGCTTCCAGCTGCTGCTACACAGAGAATTAATCAGGGCTGAAGAACTGGAGCAGAGCAAGCCCCACAGCTTCTGAGAGGGTGGTCGGTTGTCACTCTGGTCATCTGTCCCCAGCTGACACGATGCACAAGCTGCACCAGGGAAGCATGAAGAGTTTGCTTACTGCTCTCTCTTGTGCTTTGAGTGAAAACACAGGGCACAGCTTCATCCCTCTGATTTAGCTAAGTGCCTATGTGTCGGAGGGGAGCACAGCTCTTCTCCAATGGTGTCCATAGATCAGCAGTGATAGAGTTAGGCACAGAATCATATTTGTTCTTGGCTGGACTTATTCTAGTGACAATTGGCTCTTTCTCCTTTCCTTCCCCCCTGCCTATGCTTGGAGGGTTTGCACCAAGAGAAACAGACCCATTCTAGGCTGCCAGGGCAAGAAGTGTGAATTAGAAACCAACCTCCCGTGGAATTATAAAGAGGGAAATAGCGGAGTCATGCAGCATTACAGACTAACGCTTCCATTTTGCCGGGTTTGAAAGTGATAGAAATTCCAGGAGCTTAAAGTGGTTCAATTGGTTCAAAAAGCATGCAGACTACTAGCCCAAATAATTAATTTGGTTCCCCCAAACAACTTGCTCTGAGCAGTGTTCTTCAGCCAAAATAAGTTTCCCAGGGGAGGCGGGGGCAGGACAAGAGAGAGAACATGTCTATTATATACATGTTTGTTATTATGTATGTGTTTGTTAGCAGACAAGCTTCTTGCTCTTGGAAGGGAAACAAACGAGGAACTCGGGAACAAGCAAACAGTGGAAAGTAGGTCTGTGACTGAAAATGCTCAAGTCCTATCTGGTGACATTTCTGTTTTAACTGAAGCAGATGACCAACCTGATGACAGTAGCTGGCCCTATCTTCCTCTCTTTCATTGTACCTTGGCACTAGTCTGAATGCCACTACAGCTGGATCCACTCCCACTAATACAACCAAGGAGCTAAAGAGTGCAGTTCTGACATGCTACCGGCTTTGCGCACAGCTAACTTGTGGGCATACCAAGAAAGGGAAACATCTTGAGTTTGGTTTTGTTTTTTTTCCCAGACTGAGCATAAGGGTGAATTTCTTTGAGAAGTGGCTCCTCTCCCCGGGTCTTCCAGAGCTACAGGGAGAAGAGAGAGAAGGTGAAAGCCAAGTATCAGCTAACAGCTTTCCACTATTGGACCAGCAGAAGTTAGAGCAGTGAGGGAAGGCTACA